TTCTTTATGCAGGTGTCTCTTAAGCCTTTACATAATGATTTAGCTGGAATATTCCTTTCTAAATATGTAGGCATGCTTTTCTTGATGCTCTTGTGAACGTGACTTAGCTGCTGGTTTTCTCCTCTTGGAGCCTGGAAGGGCCCTCACCACAGTTCTAAATTTTGTGATTCTTTCTTATACCCCTAACCATTCCTAGTAGACACTCCATGAGGACAGGTCTGTGAATTACTCCTTTGTCTTCCTTCTGCCTGAACAATGCCTGGTGTGTATATTACTTTTCTTGAATTAACAGATGGGCCATGAAGTTCATGTAAATCTGCAAAGGGAATAAAATAAAAATGGAAATGAGTTTAGAAAGGAATCATTAATTATATGCCTAATTCTAATTAAATTGTAGTATAGCCAGGAAGAAGAGGAGCCTGAGATTAAGAAGATGCAAGCCCTTGTGTTGGATTAATGGTTTTTTAACTGTCCCTTAATCATTGTAGTTCTTAGCATTTTAAATCCGGAAATGAATGGATTGGATGAGATCTTTTCTAAGATCCCTTCGAGCAAGAATCACATTGCTCCTAAGTTAATTATATAGAAAGAGGTCTTGTTTGCCAGACTCCTTAAGGCAGGAAGTATGTTCTGCTCATCCATAATTTCCTGGCACATAGCTCAGAACCTGGTGTAGGGGAGTTATCCGGAGAGCTTTGTCCTTTAATCAAGCAGTGTGTTTCCACATGAAATTATAACTAAAAAAAAGCAAGTGAGAAAAATGTCAAGTAGAGATGATGGTGAGTTAGATATCCACAATACTTAAAAGTATCTATGAAAGAGCCTGGAATGTCTAAAAAACTATGTGATGTTTTTCAGTAAGTTGTTAACAAATTAACCAATAGAACAAATGAATTTGAAGCTGCCCTCTGTACAAGTTAATAATTCATCAGTCTGTGACGTTTTACAAGGACATGTTGCTAAAACTGAGCTGTGTGCAGCATAAGAGATTGGTGGTATTTTTGAAACTCACCTGTGCTAAGGCTATCTCTTTGTTTCAAGGACTGAAAAACTGGAGCTGTAAAGATGGGTCAGTGGGTAAAGACACTTGCAGCCAAGCCTGTGACCTTAAGTTTTTTCCTCTTCTCACATGGTGGAAAAAGAGAACTAGTTCTATCAACTTGTCCTCTTACTTCCACACATGCTCACATGTACACACACACACACACACACACACACATACACACACACACACACACACACACACACACACACACACACCTTTCCCTTTGTGTAAGCTCTGTCAGCTTTTCACTAATAAAAACTTGGTATTATTTAATCAGGGAGATTCTATCTGGCCCTTGCGTAGAAATCTCTTGAGGATGAAAGCAGTATTCTTACATTTAAATAAAACTCTTATCTCTGGAGAGTTAATTGTATACTTATAGAAGTCAATTAAGAAAATTAAGCAAATTACACAGTCAAACCATTTATATGAAGTATGTGCGTATGTATGTCTGTGCGTGGTGGTTCTGTCATTAAAGGCTAGGCTCACAATTTAAAAGACAAAAGTGTTTGTGTGTGTGTGTGTGTGTGTGTGTGTATGTGTATGTGTTTGTGTGTGCTGATTCTTTTATTCAACTGAACCTGTTTATTACCTGTTCATTTATTGCTTGTATACTATGTGCTAAAATTCTCTGGCTAAGAACTGTGTACATAGTGGGAGAAATTAGGATAATGCAACAGGTCATGGTAAGAATTAGTGTTAAAGGTTGGTGCCTGACAGTTTAAGCCAGCATGCTTTTTTGTTGTTGTTCTTTTTTTTAACAACAACAACAAAATATATAATGGTATCTTCACCAAAGAAAATATGACAGTGTGAAGGTTGTTCATTTCATTGATTGTTGACAAGTTTAACTTGTGTTCATGCTTCCTGAAATTACTACAGTTCACTTATTTTCTGTTTGTGATAGCACTTTTGTGGGTGTCCAGAGGCAGGTGTTGAAAGCTGAAACCGTTATCGTTTGGAGGGTCCCTACTAAAGTACTATAGAAGTTTGATTAAGAAAGAGGATTTTCCTTAGTGTAAAAACAAACACACAAATAAACAGCAGCAACAGATATCTAGCAAATTAAAAATTTGACATGTTGAGATGAACATACCTGTGCTATTGTCTGACATGCTGCCTCTTGCTCTCTTCTGTTACCTACATACACTTCCCAGCCTAGTGTATCATGGAAGCCTAGCTTCCATGATGCCATTTGGATAGCATGTTGAAGTGCACCTTTCTGGCCCTACAGCAGGATAGTCAGTGTTACAGTACTTGTGTGTTCCTGAAGCCATATTTAAAAATTTGTTTTCATTGAAAATTGCATATCTTTAAGGTTTACAGCACAATATTTTGATATACCTATGTAGAGAAAGAGGTATCAAAGTCAAAAGAGTAAACGTGTCTGCCATGTTTTGTGGTAAGAGTGTCTGCAGTCAGACAGGAGGAGCCTATCGTAACTCTCTTCTGAGAGACTGAACCCAGCAGTGGATTAAAACAGATGCTGAGACTCAGTAGCCGAACAAGGAGTCTTGTGGAAGTATCGGGGGAAGGATAGAAGGATAGAGGGGACAAGAGCTCCACAAAAAGACCAACAGAGAAAACTAACCCACACGCATGGGGACTATCAGGGACTGAAGCACCAACTGATGAGCATGCATGTGCTAGACCTAGACCCCCTATAAATATGTAACCAATGGGCAGCTTGGTCTTCATATGAGCTCCCCAGGAAGTGGAGCAGAGGATATCCCTGATAGGGCCTCTGTTGCTTGGTTTTGGATCACTTCCCCCTGACAGGGCTGTCTTGCATGGACTCAGTGAATGAGGATGTACTCAGTCCTGATGCTACTTGATGTGCTGGGGAGGGTTGATACAGGGTGGTGGTGGTGAGGGGTCTCCCTTTTCTGAAAAGAAGGGGAGGTCGGGAAAGGGGAAAGATGGGATGAGCGCAGAACCGGGAGGAGAGGAGGGAGGGCCCTGCGTTCAGGATATAAAGTGAAGAAATAAAACTTAATAATAATAATAATAATAATAATATATATATATATATATATATATATATA